AAAGTATTTTCTACCTTGAGGTTTATACTCCTGCACATCTCCAATAACTTCCTACTGTCATCACTGTTTAATTGAGAGAGAGCTGCATTCCCAATTACCCCATCTCTAATAAAGGAGTCATCTTTTCCGATCCTAGTATTTAAGTCCCCAAGGATTATCAAATTACGACTCCTAGGAAGAGAGTTAACAATGATATCGAGGTCATCAAGCAGTGGCGTAGCTACGGGGGTGGTTTTCGGGTTTTTACCCCTCCCAGAGCAAAAATTTATTTTTAGATTATACGTTCAAAAGACTTATAAGTGGTGACTTTATATCAAATAAATACCAATAATATTTATATTTTTCTGGTTTTGATGTTTGTGGAAGGATATTATATTACTATTGAAAATCAGGATACTATTATTATAAAGTCATTGAGAATTATCTACTAAATTATAAAACAAATTATTGATGCATAAAAATTTATTTTATTATATATTATCGAAGATATGGTTATGATTTGTAAGATAAACCCGGCCAAAAGCCTGGCAAAAGGGCCGAAGACCCGTTAAACGCCCCCCCCCAGGCTTTATATGTATGGACCCCCTCTAAGGAAAATTCCTAGCTACGCCACTGTCATCAAGGAATGAGAGCCGTTCGTTTCTTCTAGGCAGGGCATAGACATTAATTAAGATTGTTTGACTGAAGCAGGTATTCAGGTATAGTAAACAGCATCTCTCAGAAATGGGTACAAATTTATCCACGTATTTGCATAATCTTTTTCTAATAAAGAAAGCAACCCCCGATCAATTATTGGAAGTGGTGCCAGAACTATACATTTCACAGTTATTAAAGGTAGCCAATTATTATCTTTTGAGTGGGCCTCTTGTATGCGATCACATCCATTTTTTCGTCGACCATGAGTCTTAGAAAAATCGTTAATTTACTTATTTAACCATTAATATTAAGCGAGAACATGATAAAATTTTCTTTAAAACCACTCGGGTGCTCCATACAATGATATATATATAATTGGCTCCATATCTCTGTGCCCATTTGGAAACCGAGTTGACAGACATTATAATAGAAAAAGATTTAAAATTTGAAGGGAAATAAAATACAGCTTAGCGTATAAAAGAATAAAAGTAAAACTTTTCTACATCTATTGTAGGATAAATAATAAAATGTTTAATTTTCTAAATTATTTTTAACTAAATAGATGGAGTTAAATATTTAAAAGCAAATTGTTACTATATTTATTATTAAAAACATTTATTAGTAAAATTTATTATAATATTAGCTGTAATATAATATAACTGTCAAATACGTCTATAAAAGTGGCATTTTATCTAATATTTTATAATCAACTGTATATAATAAAGGATTATAAACTATATATCTACTTACTTTTTATTATACTTATTTGGGCCTTGAAAATATTTTTAGGAATAGGTATGATAATAAAATTTAAAAATAAATATACAGTTGATTAGTCATTTTGAACTATGCTAATTACAATATTAAATTTTTTAGTTCTCAATTAATAAATGATTATATTTATATTAGGGTTATTATATAATTTAAATAATAATAGTCAATTAAGCTTCAACTGTTAATGCTAAATTAATATTTAGTGAGTGATATTTATATTCTATTTTTAACACAAAATTTGATTGCTAGCTGACATAGTGAAAATATAATTTATATGTATTAATTTAATATAATATTTAAAATAGTATTCATTTAATAAATATTTAAATAGTCTTATTAATTTTTAAATAATAAAATTAAATCTATATTTTACTTAATAGAATTATAAAAGAAATCTTTCAGGAGGCAATCAAAAAAATTTATTTTTAGTTCAAGTGGTTAAGATTCCATTAAAAAAAAATTTTGCTTCAGGGGGCTATTCAAATTTTCCAGGGGGCTCGAGCCCCTGAGCCCCCCCTAGCGACGCCACTGGTATCTGATGGAGTAGATAATAGGATTTTGTCAGTAGTCTAAATTTGACATGACCAAAATACTTAGTTGCTTTTCAAAGATTGAATCGGTAAAGTGATTAAAATAGGTGAGCGCTGGTCCGGAGGAGAATCTCTGATGGACATGCCGTTTTTCAATTGGATGAGGAAACGGAAAGAGCAGAAATAAACTTTTTAGTTAGCGATAGCCTCGCACTTTATTGGTTTTATTATAGGGATACCGCACTTCATTTCTGGCGCAGAGCAATATTTTACCTTTGAATTTTTTAGCCGGTTACGAATTTTAAATATAAAGTTTTTTACCCCCCTCCTCTTTTCAAAATAAAATTGAACCATATAAGTAATAAAGATAAAATTAAAATTAATTTTGTGGTAAAATTATGTATCAATTTAGCATTAATATATTTTAAAAAACCCTAAAATTAAGATATTATTTTTACAGGTTTAACAATTTTTTATTTATTAATTATACTTTATAATATAATAATTTTCCCAATATTTATATTACCATTTGGATAAAATTATGAAAACCATTACAACCATTGCAAATCTGAATACAATTACATCCCCGGCGAAAGGTTGCAAGTACACAATATCCATTTTTTAAAACAAATATTAACATATTTCTATATCAGTAGCTAGTATTTATACGATACCTCAGTTTAAGATAATTCGTTTATCATTTTCTAAATCACAAGGAACAATTTTAGATTACATAGTCTACGCAGGTCCAGAGGAGAGGGGTTTTATATTTCAATAACAGATCTGCAAAAGCCAAAAATTGTAGAGTAGTTTACATCAGGATAGAAACTTAATACAATAGACCTTATAAATATTATGTGCGCCTTTTGTTTTCTAATATTATGTATAGAGGTCTGCAAAGCCCGGTCAATTTCGACCCGTGGCAATCATTTACATTAGTTGTCCGGCCTACCCGAAATTTTTTTGTCAGGCCCGGTCCAGCTTCTTGTAGTTCTTTTTTGGAATATACGCGTTCGGCTCAACCCAAGCCGTTATTTTTTTTTAATTTGTCCGGCCAGGCCACTAAAAACTTTACGATGGGTTAGGCCCGTCCCCTTGTTTAGAGAAAAGTTCACCCCGATGTTTTTATAATCATTTTCCGGTCATCTGATTTTTTCCAAATGTAAATTAAGGCACTTATATCTTTCCTCTAAATCTATCTTTTTACCCGGCTGTATAAATCAATTGTGTGTATCTGTATTATTGTACTTGTATCATATCATGTAAATAAATTGCTTAATTTTTTGTGAATTTAGTTATTATTTACATTTTAGCTAGCACTTAAAATATAAAGAAATATGCATATTAGAATTTATTTTCAAATAGTATTATCAAAATTAAAATATTAGCTTGAAATTCAAAAAAATTTATCAAAATTTTTATGTCTGGACTGGCCTATTAAGATTTAGGTAAATACAGATCTGCGAGGCCCTTTCGGATATTTTATGTATAATTGGTCTGGAAATTATTTATTCATGAATTGCCCGGGTTGAATTTTTTCCCGGGTTTGATATAATTTTTTCAAAAAAAATTCCGACCCTGCCCTTTTTAATTTTTTAAAAGATTTTCTCGGGATTTGCAAATATCTAATGCAAAATTTTTCAATTATTATAACATTTTATAAAATTTATAAAAATTTGTAAAATGTAAATTTAGATTTAGTTTCTTGCACTTTAATTTCAGATATGATAAGAAAAAATTAATATTTAATAATAATAATATAGAATAATTATAACCATGACAAAAAAAAATTTTTACCTGAAAGTTTGATCAATTTTATTTTTAATCCCAAACATTAAAAAAATAAATAAATTCAATTTTTAACCTAATTTAAACATAGTTTATTTCTTTACCTTACATATATCTATAGTAGAAATTAAAAAAATTTATGCATTAGGAAAAACATCCGAGGAATCTATTTTTTAAAAAAATAAATTAAAATTCAATAATTATGTCAAATGCACAAGATTTATCTAAATAACTTGTTACTTAAAACTATCGCATAATTTGTAAAAAAAACGTCAAACGTCTTACTGTCATTCGTGACCCTAGCTTATTTAAGGGGGCTTACCTTTGGAAATTTGCCTGTTTTTGTAAATATCATCAACCCCCCCCCCCCTCCCCTCACACTTCCCCCACCCCTATCTTCTCAAAATATTTATACAATCACTATAAAACAATAATTTGAAAGAAAAATAAGTAAAAGTTAATAATTTTTTCAAATATGACTAGAATTAAATTTTTTAAAAAGATAAGCATTTTTATATTGAAATAAAGCAACAAACCAAAAATATTTTTATAAAACCTACCTAAAGCCCTTCAATACTTACGGGGACTGATTAGTGTTTTATTTCTCTTAGCAGAATCATTGTTCTTGCTGAACTCGTGGCTTCCGGTGTTCTTGGAAATAGTTGGATTTGAATTTTTGTATCAAAAAAAATATCTTTAAAAAGGCCCATACCCCGTCAATGCATGTCCCAGATAACCAGATTTTATTTAAAGTTTTAGAAATATGAAGTTAGCATAAATATTGTCAAAATTTCTGTCGCAGCAGCACAAAAGCGCCAGAGAGATTAAGGGGCTTTTCATGTAAACGTTTACTATTAATATTAATTTCATTTAGTCAGATTATGTATGCCCAAAAATGGTTAACTCAAAAATTATCGAGGGGGGAGGTGGAAGGGAGTTTTTTATAAATTTCATTGAGAAGTAGGTTGTTCTTAAAGTTTTGCGTGTAACGTAGACTAATAGCCTCCAGTTCATTCAGAAATTCTTATCTCCATGATTAATAAAATAAATTGTGAGTTGAGATTCAGAGGCCAAATTAATTGTTTATGTATTAAATTTTTATTTGACATTGTTTAATGCGAAGTTGATTGTTAAATGTTAAGGAAATTTCAAAGTTATATTTTGATTATATATACATTAAAAAACACATGAATTATAATGCTATATAATTTGTATTTTTTGGTTCAATTAATTACATTAATAATGTATCATTTAAATAATATTATGCACAGTATGCATCTAAAAACATCAACGATAATATCAGGTTACTATAACGAAAGACCAAAAAGATTATTAGTAAATTCTACAAACCCTAAAAGTCTTACTCGTCTAACTACACCATTTATGAAAACAACAATTATCCCCGGTAAGACGATCGTCAATAGCTTCACAATAGCCATATTTATACCATTCTTTGGTCCACTCCCTTTCACGTTAGAAAGAAGCTACGCCATGTTATTGTTAGGATTAAAAAAGGCAAACGAGATACTAAAACCTCACGCATTGGATTGGATTATAATGGACACCGGAAGCGATGATTTAGGTGAGACTATGTACGAAAAATGTACCGAAGAGTTCACTGCATTTCAAGCCTCAAAGGTTTACTACACTTATAACGTTACAGCCTTTTTAGGGCCTGTTTGTTATAGCGAATTTTATGCTATAGCCTTTTTAGCTTCTCGTTGGAGAATACCTTTGATAACTCCCTTTGGTCCAAATTTTAATAATCCAGACGTGTGGCCCACAACTATGAGAACTGGTGTTAGCGTTCTGGGCATTGTGTCAGTATACATAGCTGTTCTTAATTATTTTAATTGGACCGATTATTTTATGATATATGATCTTGCCGAATATCCCTTATTCCCAAATTTTGGGGAACAAATAATCATGTTTGGCACTAAGAAACCAGTGGCCTATATTACTTTAAATTCAAATAGTATGAATCCAAATTATTTGGTACAGTTAATAGCAGGAAGCATGCTTTCAAGAGGTAAAAAAAATAATAATATTTAAAACTAAATATTTTTTTTTTGAATTGCCAATTAGTTTTTTTCCTCGAGTCTATGTTTACCAGTAAAAGAGATTTATTATTAAATGCGTATGATATGGGATTATTAGAAGAAGGTGAATATGTATTCTTAACTACTGAACTTTGGAAATGTAAATGTTTTGGGGGATCATTTTTTGATTTAGAACATGACCCAAGAATAGAAGTTCTATATATATGTATATATATAATGATATTTTTAAACTTTTGAATAGGATCTGAAAAAGGCATATGAATCTGTGTTATTGATAACGTTCAAAAGATCAGAAACTTCAGAAATCTTCCATAAAAAAGTCAAAAATTTAACCGCTAAGTTGCATGATTTTAATTATTATTTTGGGAATGAAGATGTTAGTAAATAATTTCTAATTTTTTAAAACATTTCTTTAATTATACAGATAAGTCCTATGATTCAAGGCTTTTATAATGGTTTGGTTGTATATGCAACAACTGTAAAACAGCAATTGATAGAAAAAGGAGATACACATGATGGTCGCATAATGGCAGCAAAAATGAGTGATCGATCAATTAAAAGTATTAAAATATATCAGTATGTATTTAAAACCTTTTTAAATTATTTATAGATTAAAAAACTAGAATCTATTTTTAACTTTCTAATCAATTTGATTTTTTTTCCTTCAAATATTTCTCCATATTTTTATCTGAAAAATTTTCATCTTTTATGGAATAATAAGAATTAACAATAAAATAAATACAAAAAGTAGAATTTTATCATGTTAATGACAAAATTAAAACGTTTTGAGCAAAATGTATTTTGAATTTATTATCATGATTGTCAACGTGATTGAAATGTAATTAAAGGTTAAGCATATCAGAATTTTTCCAAAAAAAAGTTTTAATTTAAAAAAGGGTTTTTGGCAAATTATATTTGTTAACTAAATAAATAAAATAATCTAGGGAGTATATATATATATATTACTATAGAATGAAACATTCTTAATGAATCAAAATTAGGGTTTCTAATGGAACATCTCAGGAAAGGACCTGAAAAAATAGACAAAGATAAGGGGGAAAATGGCCTCCATTTCTGATAGCTAGAAAAAGGTGAAATATTTCTTTATTCTATACTCCGCGTTTAAGGATATCCAATCCAATTTTATCAAAACCATAATCATGTGTAAGCCTTTCATACTTTTACAAATAATATTTTTTCTTTCTCCTGACCTTTTAACCTCATTTCCATCAGCAAAGGTATTGCTACTTTTTTACCCTCTCTTGCTTTCATTTAAGAATTTTATCCGTCAAGTCAGTTTCACTATTTTTCATCAATTCGAGATCACCAGCATATAAGAGCTTGAGAAATCCTTTAAGCATCTCTAACCATCACCTACTCTCCATTACTATAAATAATAATGGACTCGAGATATATCTTGGTAATTTTTTACATTGATTTACATTCGCCGTGTTAGGGTTTGGTGTTTTTACTATAATTTTCTCATTATGAGTATGTTTAAAAAAAAATAACATCGTTCTAGCTAGCAGAAATGTCTCCATACCCCCCTCTCCCCTGTCCCATTTTATGCATGTCTCAATGTTATCCTTTGAATACTATTTCATTTTCTTTCTCTTTATTCATAGTCAATGCAATAGGTCATATGATTTACTAAAAAAAATTCCCCTCTATATATATGCATATATCTATAATAATATTTTCAAACTTGTTAAATATCTAAATTTAAAGATATATCAATTGGAACTGTAAAGTATCATTACATCAAATTGAATCAGAGGTCTGCACTTCAGGTCTAACCCGTAAAATATATTTTGAACAGATTTCCGGCCCGGCCCCTATTACCTTATAAGGAAAGCGACATAAATTTGTCCAATTATCAGCTAAAACTTCAGCTTGTCCCATAAATATTTTGCACTGTTTATACCGCCCGGTCTTAGCGGGGCCGACCATTAATACGAATATAAAGTCTTTAAATGCCTAGTAAAATGGTAAAGATGCTTAAATCCGGACCGAATTTCATAATAAAAATCCCAGACCCAGGATGGGCTTAAAAATTTAAAATTAAAATTCATTGGTTTGGTTTCTCATATTTTGAATTATCCACTTGAAAGGATTATTAGCCAAAGTTAAAATATGATTCAATTTTTAAAAATATTAGCCAGGCTCAAAAATAAATAAAAAAATTGAAACGAGCCAAAATACATTTAAAATATAGATATGGACTGGAAAATTTTCTTTTTTAAATTTAGACCTTTCCTAAAAATTCAATCTATGCAGGTCTCTGAGAATTATTTTAATATTTCGAAATTATTTAAAATTTTTATAGCTAAAATAAGTAATTTAACTAGTCCTGCGTTTTTTCTTTTACAATACTAAGATCATAGTCTTCGAGGTTTTCAGCCTATTTCTTTCCTAATAACAAATGAGTAGCCAAGAAGTGAACCCCCTCCTCCCAGCTGGGAAAAATATTTGCAATGGTGTAGAAAAGGGGGAATCATTCCCCCTCTTCTCAACAAATTTACAATTTTTTGAAACTCACATTGAATAAAAAAAAATTGATACTTTGATACATTTCCCCACCCTCTACATCTTCCCATAATATAAGTAGAAAGATGCATCAATAAACCACCTTTTTAGCAAATAATACCATCGATACCAATACTAATAGTAAATAGAGTTTTAAAATATGATATACCATTCACTTACGTTTAATATTAGCTCTTTTTATTTTATATAAGCATGTATAGCAAATAATAATAAAACTATATTTATGATTTAATTATTTTTCTAGCGGAGAGTGGAGAATTCGTTATTAATCGCATAGGAGATCAAAATTTTGATTATATTATATGGGATTTTGACGCTATAATCCAAAATTGGAGAGTAATTTATATTAAACAATTATAATATAACCATTATTTTATAGCCAATCCTGACGTACAATGAAAAAGATGGTATAAAATTTATTAATGGAAGCTTTAAAGTGCATTGGCCGCATAGAGTAGATGTTCCCTTAAATCAACCTATTTGTGGATTTAGAGGAGACGATCCAAAATGCATACCTAAAGGTAGATTTAACATAATAGGGCTCGGAATCGAATCTTACTAGATATATTTGTTGAAATTAAATCAATTTTTTTAAAATATATCATATGAATATTTATCAAACTTATAGACACATTCCCATTATTGGGAATTCTAGCCATTGTTTTAAGTTTCATAGTCGTATGTGTCTTCACGATGGCAATATTTTTCTACAGGTATAAATTCAAGCATTATTTTTATCAATTGCGAATCAATATATTTTTTTAAAATTGATATTTATTTTATATATTTAGCAAAATGAAATACGAAGCGGAATTAGCTGACAGATGGTGGGAGGCGCAATTAGACGACATTAAAGTTTATGAAGGAAGTATAAGTAGAACTTCTCTAAATAATATTTCTAAAACAGTGAGTTATACAAATTATGCATTATTAGATAATTTAGAAATAATTAAATATGCATTATATCTTAATGATTTGACATAGAATATAGCAACGAATCAAGAACCAAACTTAATAACACTAGAAAAGTACAACATATTACACGGAGAATTTCGGGTAGGTATGCTACATATATAAATATTCACAAAAGCTTTTCAATTTATCTATGTTTTATAGATTAATTAAATGCAAACTGAATAATTTGGCTTCAATGCGTCGAATATTCAATTCAATTCGATTCGAAAATTGAATTATTTAAAAATATTTTCTAAAATGAAAATATGGATTATTAAAATTCAAAAGATTTATAGATGTGGAAAAAAAGTTAAAAAATAAAAAATCAAGCATGGAACATTTTAAATACTTAAGAATTATTTTTTATATATGTAAATAATTTTGAATATTTACAAATTGTTTCGAATAATTCTATGAATAATTTTATAATTCGATCGAATAATGGACAAAAAATTATTCAACAGGTAATATACCTTTATCACTATTTCTAATTTTAGAATCAAAATTTTTGAATTAATATAATTTATATTAGTTTTTCTAAATTTATATATAAATTATAGAAAAACTCATATTACAGGCAAAATTGTCTGAAATTCGTAGGGTAGGTATTATAAATAAAAATACATTTCCGATAAAAAAAATCAATCACAAAATGATTTAAATTTTAAAAAATAACACATTGGCGTTAACATACGAATATTTAAAATGGTTGTAGCAATTGATTTTTTTTTAAAATATATGGTGCAAACCGAGCTTAAAACTTATGTTAATGAAATTTAAAAAGAAGAAAATGGGTGTTGGTTACTATATTTGATCCGATTCCGAGGGTTCCAGACGGTAACAAACTCCAGTTGTAAAAAACGCTGGAAAATGAAGCCTCTTAAAAGCAGGGATTCGGTTCGGACCCAAATTTGGGTTAAAGAATTCGGAAGTTTTTGATAAGAGGAACTTGTGCGAAACTAATTTTTTGCAAGGGAACCAAACTCGCCTCGATTTGAAGTACCCCGAGTTGGATAGATATTCCATAAATCAATCCCTATTTGGACTGTTATCTCAAAGTTTCCCACCGAACATTTTTTAATCTCTGAACCCAAATTCGAATCCGAGATAAATAGAATTTTTTCTTCTTTTATCGGAAACTGAGCTCATATTTTTACTCTCCTCTGCTGAGTATCTAATTATATGCAATATATTATATTATTCCGTTCAAAATGTATGAGCAACTAATACAACAGAAAGTTAATTAAAATCAAATTTCTTTTCATGATAACTTGTACATTTTCTATTTTTATAATTAACGAAGGTTATAATGACGAAAGTTAACAAACAATAGTTAAGAGAAATATTTCAAACTCTAAAAATATACATTATTAATGAATGCCATTATATAAAATGGAAGTATGTATAAATAATGACAAATTTAAAATAAAATATGAATTGTGGTATATAGTTGATATTTGTAAATTTTAAAAAGGGCGTACAAGTATCAGTTCAAGAATTGTCGGTTGAGAAAAGAATGCGCATTAATCGTCAATTATTGATTGAACTTAGGATGGTAAGCTTTTTTATGTGATAAATAGATCGATGATATAGTATATCACTTTTTTGAAAGGGTCATATTGAAAATCTCTCATATTCTCTTTTATTACTTATTTTATTATTTAACTTTCGTTCGTATTCAAATAATTTTTTTTAATAATATTATAATATAATATATTCTTTTTCACCTTTTCCCTTTTTTGATTTTATTATATCACCTTCTTTTTTATCATTCTGTTAAGCAAATTTTAGGGGAATTATTCTCAATTGTAAATTAAAAAGCCGCCAACCCCTTTGAAAGTAATCCTTCCATAATTTTTATAAATCCTAACACCAATTCATTAAGTATTTTTGTACAAAGGTGTTAATATATATTAGATATGGCACAAGAGGCATGACAGTTAAAGTGGGATTGTTAATTATAAATAAAAAAAATCTATATTTAGTGGACGTCATCTTTAATATCAGTGCAATCCTTCTTGGTAAACCTAATAAAATCAATATTACAGGATTGTAATAATTTATTATTATGGGAAAGGTTATTTCATGTTACCTTTCGCATCCATAAGTACCCAGAAGACAAAGAAAGTCCCATGTCTAAATCTATCAAAGATAATTTAATATTATTCTTTATTAATAATTCAGATATGAATTTTTTTTAAATATAAATTCCATTAAAAAAACAATTTTCAGTAGAATCTCTGGCTAAAATTAAGCAAAGGTGCTTTTTCAATAGAATCTCTGGCTAAAACTATATCAAAAATAAATAATTTCAATAAAGGTGCTTTAAAATGTTTTTATAACAATGAACAAATTTCGATACAGGCCAAATTTTCAATATTACTTTCCAAACATCCAGCTAATATTAAAATAAATCCTTTCTCATTATTAAGACATCAGTGATCAAATTAACTTTAGACGAAGTGCTCGAAGCAATTAATTCATTTTTATTAGAATCAGCAGGAGGATTGTATTTTATCAGGCTAGTCTATCGCCGTGATCCCATAAATATACACAATTAATGCTCTCTGACCCTATTACAGGCATTGCCCATCTCTGTAACCTCATAGTTAAAGGGGGTAATGGGGGTCTACCTCACCCATTAATTCCACTGTTATTTGGGGCCAGACTAATCGCTTTACAAGGCCAAATCAAGGCATCCGCCCAATTGCAATAGATGGAGTCATAAGAAAGATCATCTTATAAATTTTATGAAAGCGTATAAAAATCCCTTGTCAGAATTGCTATCTCCTAACCAATTAGGGTTTGGTTAATGGGGGATGCCAGGCAGCTAGCCACGCGGCAAGGATTACTTTGGATATCCATGCTTCAGACCACGCATTAGTCAAACTTGACATAAAAAGTTCCTTCAATACTTTAAATTGTAATTTTTTAATTTAAAGATTCTTAGAAGTCTACCCAGATTATTGCTCAAGTCTGAAGATTTGGCACAAAGGTTGGATATCTATTAGCAAATCTCAAGGCTTATGCAATATTTTTCTGGCAACCATTTTTAAAAATCGGCTCGAATGGAGCGATTTTGCAATACTTATTATTAAGAGTCTGAAAGCTTTTTGGTGTCCTTGAGAAAAAAAAGGTTTCTCATTTTTTGTTTTTGATAAAGTTTTTAAAGTTTTCCCCAATGACATAGATAATACCTAGACTGACGATTCATTCATTAAAATGCATTTTTAAACGTCGTTTAAAGCAAATCAGCTGGCCGGCCATTTTGGTAGCACATATAGTAATTATTCTCATGTTAAAAACTACTATTAAATTGATAACTTGCTGTCTTATTATTTCGATGATCCGGTAATTCTTTAATAAAATTTGCATCAGATATAGGAATAAATTAGGCTCTCGTTTAAAATTTTAATAATGATTAGTGTAACCAAGATGGCGTATCCACATGATTTGCATTTATGTACACTTTTAATGAATGAATCGTCAGTCTAGGTATTATATATGTCATTGGTTTTCCCATAAAATATTTTGATGTTTAATGTAGTACCAAAACTATATTTTTAAAAATGGTATCCAGCCTTCAATGTTGAACCTAAAAATATTCAAAAAAAAATTATGGTGAAAAAAATTCTGAAAGCGCTAGTATACACAAATATAAATCTTAAAAATAAGGAAATAAGGAAATAAACAAAAGGGCAACTTGAAAACTTATAAAAGGAGCATTTACTCAGCTATCGTTTTATTTATTTCAAATCAATTTGGCATCTAGATAATACAATATAAACGAAGTTTAAATTTCCAAATTGATCAGTAATTTTTTTCTTATATGGATTTTGTAGAATAATTATATATTTGTATATATATATTTATCATATTTGTTCAGGTAAGAGATATACAACATATTAATCTATGTCGTTTTGTATCGATTTCATTCAACCCACCACAAATATTTTTATTGATCGAGTATTGTTCAAAGGGGACTCTGCAAGTTAATTTTAAACAAACAAAAAATATGAATTCTTTTCATTAATAATTTAGGAAATCCTGAAGAACAAATCGTTGAAAATGGACATAGTTATGAAAGAATGCTTAATCAGAGATATAGCGATGGTAATATATTGCAACAAAGTTCCCATTATTCAAGCCAGCTATAACTTTCATAATTAATTAACCACTTTAAGACCGGGGGTGTTGCTATTTCATTTAGCCGCTCGAAATGGATTTAAGATTACTAAAAAAACATACATATATATTTATTGCTCAAATACAAAATTTTAATCATAAGCAATTTATAAGATTTTGTTCCTTTCTATCGACGATATACTATTGATTAAGATTAACTTTATTTGAATTTAAAAAAATATATATACATTATTTTTTCTAAAAAGGGTATGAGTTTTCTGCATTCAACTCCGATTAAATATCATGGTAACTTAAGATCTTCGGAATGTTATATTGATTCAAGGTTTTCATTAAAAATTTCGGGATTTGGATTAAATTGCATTCGCACTAACGAGACTGAGGATGAAACGCAAAGCTTTGACTACTATAAACGTATATTGACAATTTTTTTTTATTTACATGGTTACTACCACACTATTGCTCAAAAAATAATTTAGCAACAAATTTCTATATGTTATTTTTACTGTTATAACTAAATGAGTGGAAATAGATTCCTGTAATAATAATAACGCAAATATTCATTAAAAATAAAATTTTCTTTTTCAAACGCTTAAGGAAGATTGTATATAGCTCCTGAATTGCTGAGGATCTCTCTGAAGCCAACCGGTACTCAAAAAGGAGACGTGTATAGTTTCGCAATAATACTGCAAGAGATTTTATTAAGAACCAATCCATACAACATTCCCAACGAAACAAAAATTAGGACAAGTTGGGTGATTCACCCTAAAATAATAATTGATAAAATAAAAGGCGCAACACGCGATAACCCCTTTCGGCCTTCGCTCGAGAAACAAGTTGACGTTCCTAGCGATTTAATTGAGTTGGTTGTTGCCTGCTGGGCCGAAAAGCCTAGTGATAGGCCTAATTTTCAACAAATTAAGAGCATTCTTAAAAAAATGAATAAGTATATTTAAATTATATTAAAGAATTCCTAAGACAATTTAAAAATTTTATTATTTTAAATCACATAATATTTTTATTATAATACTGAGTGACCAAACTATATTAATCAGGGATTTTTACACTCGCCTGAGCCAATAACGATTAACCATAACCCTCCTCCTCCACTACCCTCTACCAAAATTCTCAAAAAGCACATTCAAATCACCCCCCCCCCTCGTGATACAAGCCCTTGTCTTTAGTTGATATTTATCCAGCTGCATGAATTTGATTGACTTATTTATATATGAACCCTTTTCAGATATTATTTTATGTATTATTTATTTGTTTTCATGTAACAATTAAATTTCCAGAGTTGTTAAAGTAGCGCGCTAACTTTTTTGGTAGCTATAGCTAAAATATAATGAAGGTATGTATAAACATGAAAATTTAAATATAATATAAATAATTATAATTTTTATGATTTATTATTTAATTTTGAAATTGAAAAATAATTTCAATTTGTAATTTATATTTTCATTTGTATTATACCTAAATCACGTGTTAATAATTTAAAATGCCATCGCCTGTGGATATCCAAATCTTTGAAAGTGATTCAGACAATGATATTAATGAAATGGAAGATACCAAGGAAGAAAATGTTCTTAATAGCTATAATACAAATTTCCCATTCCATAGATTTGAAAAAAATTTTAAATAAATATATAACCAAAACTGGTTTCAAATTTATTTGTTTAAAATGTAAAAAAAATATTTACTCAAATCAATCCAGAAACTAAACCTCAAGAAACATCTAAAGGTAAATTGTCATTTTTACATTCTAATAATTATTTATTTTATAAAACTGTTCATGAGTTTTAAGGAAATGAAACATCTAAATAATTTTGGTGTAGGCGACTCTACATCCAAAAAGACTAATTCAATTCAAACCAAATTAATTAATTATGCAAATGACAATATTTCTCAGGAATTGGCTGATAAAGTTATTGTTGATTTTATAATTTATACAGTTCAGCCAATGTCCTTAGTTGATAATCCATCATTTACCATGATGATTAAAACTCTATCCCCTGGTACAACAATTTTATGCCGCCAGACACTAATGAATAAAATAGCAGATAACTTTAAAATAATGAAAGATGCTCTAATAGTAGAGTTATCAGAGATATCATATATATCATATATATGTACCACGGGAGATAGTTGAACACATAACAGAAGGTAAAAACTTATTTATATTTATAAATTGATATGATTAAATATTTTTGAGCTTATTTGGGAATCACAGGCCATTGGCTAGACCCTAGAACTTTAAAAGGAAGATCTGTGGCATTATCCCTCAAAATGATAATAGGATGCCAGACATACGATGCACTTGCAAATAAAATTATTGATAATAATCTATCTTATATTAAAAATATGTATTTAAGATTAAATACGCCCTTACCTCAAGTGCTAGTGTCGAGAGATTATTTAATAAGGCAAAACTTATACTTTCTGATCGTCGCTCTAGACATGGGGATGATAATATTGAAATTATTTTATTATTAATATGGTACAAATTACCATAAATATTTATTTTTATTACATAAATTTTTTTATAATCAAAACTAACTATATTTTAATATTTATAAATGTTGTTTTTATATATTTATATTTACTATACAATAACATTATAAAAAAATAGTTAATTTGCTTGTAAATTTTTTTTATAAAAAGTAGCTAATAGCGAGCTACCTTTTTTGACAAATAGCGATAGCGGTAGCGCGCTACTTTTAAAAGTAGCGTTTAACAACTCTGTAAATTTCAGAAAAATAAGAAAGTTTATATTCAACTTCGAGGAAGGTTTTGAAGGAAAATATTAATTGAATAAAAAAAAAGCAAAAACTTTTTTGTTGTCCAGATGTTTAAAATACCCAACTACAGTTTGTTCCTTCTAGATCTTATTTCATATTACAATTTAAATCGCAATTGAAGTTTTTTAATACAAAATATACTCCAGAAAATATGGCTTCTATTCATGAACCTAAAGAGGTATAAACTCACAATAATGAATTTTCAGCTCATCCACAGTGATTTCAAATATGTGATTTGCAAAATATTATTTTCTATATTGCCCTCCTATCTATAAAATAAGTCAAGTCTCAGACCTGAATGACTTTAAAGATTTGTTTAAAAATATATATTATTGCTAAGATGCAGAGTTGTTAAAGTATCTAGATATAAAAATGTGGTATCTGTATCTAGATATATTTCTGATTAAAATATCTGTATCTGTATCTAGATATTATTTTAGACGTATCTGTTTTTAGATACTTTTTAAGATACATTTTGATATACTTTTATTTAATGTTTTTTATATTATAAACAAACTTGAATGCAAAATTTTATTTCATATGAGCATATAATTTAAATATATATATTCAAAATAAAAAATTATATATATATAAAATATTAAAATATTTAAAAAAAATAGATATATATTCATTAAATATAATGTCAGAGTTCAATAAACCAGACAAATTTTGATATTACAATGCAACTCAAGAAATCTGCCATTTTAATTTTCAATGGAATTAGTTAATTTTATTTTATTATACTAATTTTAAAAATTTATTTTAGATTAATATTAATAGTGATGAAGCGAAAGAGGAAGAAGTAATAATCAATGAAGCATCAACAAGTTGAGATATTGTTTTCATGGCCAATTTATAGAGCATATTTTAAAATAATATCTCAAAATAAAAAAAACAAATTTCTGATAGTAAAATGTTTGCCATATCTATAAAAAAATACGAAAATTTCTAGCATTACCATATTTTTTTAAACATAAAACTTTGCATTAGGGCTTGCAACTTTGTAAAACATTTAAGGGTATAGATACTAAATAAAATGTTTAAAATTGTAATTTTCAATTTTAAGAGAAAAAATCAAACACTGTTAATGAAAAAAACAATTAATACAAAGATTAGTTGATGAATTATCAAGATCTTCAACTGATAACAAATAACCTGTGAAAAAAAAACAATTAATTTAATATCCTATTTTTTCAGTACCCCGCAGCAGCAGATATGATTGTTAATAACGATTTAAATTTTGATACTCAACAAATTTTAAATAATTTTTTCGAAAATGAATGCCCAGATTTTATATTTTTAAAGAATATCCTGATATAAAATTGTTATTTATAAAATATAACACCTCAATCCCTTCAAGCATTCGGATTAACGAGGATGATTCTGAAAATATTTTATTACTGAAATTTAATAATTATTTATAATCATTTAATCATATATCTTTATATATTATATTATCATATTAAAATCTAAAAATCATTATTTTAATTTTTATAAATGTGACATCTAATCAATAAAGTTTTTATCTCATTTCATACATTTTCACAATAATATCCTGATTTAGGTTAATGCAATTATAAATATTAAAAAATTGTATCTCTATCTAGATACATTTTAAAATTGTATCTGAATCAAGATAACTTTTTAGACGATGTATCTGTATCTGGATATAGATAACTTTTTCGACTATGTATCTGTATCTGTATCTAGATCCATTTAAAAAGTATCTTTTAACAACTCTGCTAAGATGTAAATTTTTTTGAAAAATAAATTAATAATATCTCTTGTATAACAAATTTATAAAATATTTAACGTTTTACTTGTCATGACATATACAGTGTGTGTATGATTTGTTGTAAAACATTTCCTTATATTTGAAACAACTTTCTTAAAAAGTGTATGACTTGCTGTACTTGTAAAAATAACATATTGATAACATCTTTTAAAAAAATAATTACAGCAAGTTAAATAATTTTTCAAGAAAGTTGTTCCAATATATGGAAATGTTTTACAGTATAGATCATATTTATACTGTAATAGAGGTCTGCAATGGGCGGGTTTTTAGCCAAAAAGCTCGCTCACTCGTTGTTTTTAAATTTTTTTTAACCCGCCCGCCTTATGCTTAAAAATGATTTCGAAGGCAGGTTTTGCTCTTTTTTTGTTTATTTTAATGTATTTTAAAATAAACATATATAATATGCAATATTATGAAATAAAACTATTATTTTTAATAAATTCAAGTCTGTTTTGCTCATTTCGCCAAAAAATATTTAAAATTTATCCGCCCACGCCCGCCCATGTTAAAATTTAATTTAACCCGCCGCCACCTACCCATTGTTAAAAATATTTTAGAAAACCCGACTACGCCTGCCAGAAGTATGGGCGGGCGCGGGCGGGTTAAAAATCCGTCCAACGCAAACCTTTCACGTATATTAATTAACAAATGATTGTGGCATAATCAAATGTTGTGTGAACGCTAGACGTCTCTCTTACCACAAACAAATGCGATATCAGATGGTGTTTTTTCTCGTTGAATA